ATTGGGGGATAAGCACGGAGGGATCTAGAAAATGGAGTATTATAGTTGGAGCTCCTAACTACCGTGCAATCAATATATCGTCACTCCAATGAATACAATAGCTACGAGCTGCCGTAAGCCTTGTTGCACGAGTACTGTATCACAAGCACACTACCGAGTACCACGAGTACACTAACGAGAGAGGAACTACAAGCAGAAATCAATAGTCAGTCTTCGACTTAAATGAAGATATTGCGTAAGAGAAAGAGAGAGATAGTCAGTCTCTTTCAAAGCAAAGAACAAACAAAGGACCAACGAGGATTCAGGAGGAGTAGGAGCTAGCCTTTCATTGAAGTAGGGGCGGAATCGAATGATTACTATATAGACAATGTGGGGGAAGAACTTTGGACCATAATTACACCTTTTGTGAACATTGCGCAAGAAGCGCTGTCGCAGGCGCCAGATCCTGGACCGGTGGCGGTTCAAGAAGCGCTGTCGCAGGCGCCAGATCTTGTACGGGTGGAAGAGGGGGTAGAGTTAGGCAGTAGAATGGTTATACCCGCCGAAACTCATCTACGTCATATTGTGGCGTCGGCTGGTATATCGCATTTTGTGGCACCTTCTTCAGGAGGTGTCCAAGCTGTGACTGTCTTGCCTCAAACGATGCCCCTGGGAGGCCAGTCGGAGGCAGCAGGGCCCCCTTTTACTTTTATGTTGGGGCAGGGGGGGCCGATGGGCCCTTGCCCGGCGAATCCTCTTCTGCCTTTTCGGTCGAGGGCGAGATCTCGCAAGACGCCGGCAGGCGGTGGAAAAAGGGGAATGGCAAGCCCTTATTTCGTCCAAGGAGTGGCGGTCAACAGATCGCCATTTCACCCTCTGCGATGAGAGGATCTCCGACATTATAGAGAGGGTGACCTCCTTATATAAGAAGGGTTGCCTTCCTCTGAACATAAGAGAGGACGACAATATACGACGAGGTATTGATGTTTACTTCTCCGACCTGCACTGCTTCAAGTCTAATAGACTACGATTATCCCATATAAAAACTTTCTTTTACAGTGTGGGAAACCCACGAAGTAGGACTTGGCGTGAGATACAGAAATGCATCGAGGACTCCTAAAGGAGAATTTGGTGTCTTTCTGGTCAGTAATGGAAGCAATCGTCCCTACCGTCGTAAAATAAGAGCACCTGGCTCGAGCTAGCGAACAGCCTTGCTCTAGCAAATACAGCGACTCCCGCGGGTATAGGCGCTCACCCTAATCTGCAGCTACTAATCGAATTGCAGAATCCGGGGAGTCAAGTCTACATCGAGGGTGTTCGAATCTTACTTGCATGGAGCAGTGGCGTTGGATGATGAATTTTTTTATTCTGTTAGATCAGTGGGCGGGTAAAAAAGGGGTTAGTTCAGTTTTTCTATTGTGATTTTTTTGGCGGGTTCGGTCAGGAGAGACAAAAGAGAGATGCTTTCTATCAGTCAAAAGGAGCGAAGCCCCCGCCATGCTCCCACGGCCCGCTTACCGAGGAATAGAAAGGGAGGACCGGGGGGGTCCAGAGCAAGTAGGGTTGGGGTATAGAGCCGTAAGCGCGGTGGGGTGTGAGAGAGGACGTGCTCGTACGGTTCATAGAAGGGTATGATCAACTCGTTGATTGTTGGTAACTTGAACTCCTCTATATTCGAAATATGCCTTTCTAGGAGCATTACGATCTGCAGCTCAAATGGTCTCTTATGAAGTCTCTATTGGTCTTATTCTTATTGTGCGCCTTGTGAGCGCGTTTGTATCCGCGAAGGCAATCATCGCTCGGATGTTCCCCTAACCCAACCCGGGAACGGACCGGAGGGAACCGCAGCATGGGGAATGTCCGCGTCTCGTCGCAAGGCTCATTTTGAGTTGTGGGTCATAGGTCGGGCTTCGGGCGGGCAGCTTTATCTGATCAAGAGCCGGGGCACAAGGGTCCTGGTACTATCCCAGGTGCGAAGAACCCCGGAGGTGACTGCAATGAGCAGAAATCTCACTCACCGGCCTAAACGACGAGAAAACACTCGAACGTGAGAGCAAGGGATCACCCAACGAATGGACGAGCTCCAAGGAGGGAGGAGGCAAGCACCATGCTTTCAGAGAAGTGGCGGTCCGAATCTTATCTGAACTGCGAGAATAACTGACTAAGCTGTGCCATAAGGGTCATTCTCCGGTATTCCCTTGTTCCCTGTATTGGTTATGTTCTTCATTTCTTGTCTAGCAGAAACTAATCGAGCTCCGTTTGATCTCCCAGAAGCGGAAGCTGAATCAGTGGCAGGCTATAATGTAGAATATGCGCGGGATGCGATCCTTAATAGTTCACTGTTGGCGGAAGCCAATGTCCCGGGGTCCCGGGGACTCATTCTGACTGAAACAAGGGGCGGGTCTTTACCAACTTCAAAATATTCGATTTTAGGGAGCCAAAAAAGGTGAGCGCCCCTACGCGAGCCTTATTGAAAAGGCCCCAACCTATAGATAGGGCGTTAGCGCCCCTTATTGAAAAC